GAGAAGGCAAGAAAAAGTGCACTTTACCTCTGGATTAAATAACTACTTTTATCAGAATATATACAGTACAAACTTTTATATCTACCAAAAGAACACAGATTACATTCAATATCAAAGTTCCATAAGGTGCTATTATACCTTGTACATTTTTGCTAGAGGTGACACAGGGCAATGATGTCAGATTGTTGGCAAAGCACTCTCAGTGATGACTGACAGGTGATTGGTCCTGTCATTCTGATCTGGAGTGTTGATTTCCTTCACAAGAGATTCAGACTAATTGTTCGGGAGAGGCAGAGAGAGACGGGGACTGCTGTAACATTACATCAGAGGGTTGTCGCTTACACCATTTGTCCAATTAAAATCGCTCAAAACATTTCGTCACCACCCCTCCCAGAGGAGCATCTCTAAGAAATGAGTCCTGGCCCAAACACTACGGTATGTTGAGGTATGTAGGTAACTCTTTCAAGCACTGAACTTTGAAAAGAGCAAAATACAACCGAAATCCAGTTGTACTATAATAGAAAGTTATATATCTGACAAATACTGCAGCAGTCACACCAGCCTGCTTGATATCAAACATTACATCCAAGAGTCCAATATGTGACTTCCAAATCTTTGAAAGGAACGTTCCGCTAGGATAAGCGCTGTTCGTTAGCTTAAAGAAGGTTAATACGTACTGTGCTAAACTAAGATTCTTCATCAAAAATGAAAAAAGTCAACTACAACAACGAAAAAAACCCAGAGCAAAGACTGAGATTTCACACATTTTTGGTCAATACTAATACGCCATTGAATGGCGAGACATAAAGGTTGCTGTCAATTGTCAAGGAATATTGACAATTCCTTGACAATTGACTCAAGGAATCAGTGCAAAAGGCACTGGCTGTTACAATGTCCCCCATTCTCCCCTAAAAAAAAGAAAAACCAATTTGTTTTGAAATTTTGAGTCCTCATAATAATAATGCTAAAAAAAATAAAAAATAAAAAAATAAAAATGAACAGCCTTTGCTTGGAAATCCATAGAAACACTATAGTAAATACTCAATGACAATTAAATTAAGATAAACAGATAAATAGCAATTTTACAAGCAAACTAGTGTGCACTCAAAGGACATAAGATCAGCTTTATGTACCATAATTTTCATTTCTTTGGGGCTGATGAATGGCATGATTCTCTGAGCCATGATGATGCCCAGACACAGGAGAGGCCAGGTCGGCCTCGTTAGACAGGTCACCATCGGGAGACGGCGGCTCGTCGTCTTTTAAGGATGCTGCATTAAATCCAGAGGTTTTATCGGCGGGCGCATTGGGGAAAGCGATGGCAGCGGCGGCCGCAGCCGCGGCTGCAGCAGAGGCGTGCGTGGGAATCCCGGGGTAAAGCCACGGGAATGGGTTGGTCAGCGCCGCTGCTGCTGCTGGATACACCAACTTCTCCAAATGACTTTTATCAAACAAAGGCATGTACGATGCTGCTGCAGATGGGTTTATGAAGTAAAACGGCATGCAAAAGGGAGTCTGTTGTCCACCAACACCCGCCATTCCCATTAAAGAGTTCATTAACGCCACGTCCGGCCGGGTATTGGTGGAATCTGACACACCGTTCACGGACCAGTTCATTTTGGCTTTTTTGGTGACACGTTCATCTCCGAACTCCTGCTTGATCTTAACTCTTTTGGCCGTGTCACATCCTTTCTCGCATTTGCCATCGCCTTTCTCTGCCTCTCCTCCGTATCCGCTGTCGGTGTCCGTGTCGTTCTCATTAAGCTCGAGGTTCTGAGTCCTCTGGATGACAGGGACACAGTTGGCTTGAGTATCTCTCTGCACGTCCCGATCTGGAACGTCGTCGCCTGGCAACGGCCGCTGCAGGCTCCCTGCGCTGGGCTGGAACTGCGCGGAAACTTTGTGTAAGTGGTTGATGAGTCGCGTGCACATCTGCTCGCGCGCCGTCCAGTTCTCCACCTTGTTCAGATACTGCAGGACTTCTTTGGCACATGCTTGAAAGCCTGAGTGAAACGTGTCTAAGTCAGCCTGGAGGGAGGACTTCAACGACCGCTCCCCTGTCATAAAAGAGAGACAAAACTCCTGTCATAAAAAAAACTGAAAAATGACAGACAGATAAATAGACAGACAGACAGAAATACAGACATACAGACTGATAGATAGATAGATAGATAGATAATTAAAATAAATATAATCAACATATGGTGTAGATTTTTTTAGACAGGAATACATAGAAAATAAATATAAAAAATAAATAAAACCAAGATAGACAGATAGATAGATATATGATATAGATAGATAGATAGATAGATATTAATAATAAATCTAGACAGATATAAATATATTAATACATGCAACAAAAAAAGTGGTCAATAAAAACACTTAACATAGATAAGCATAATTGATATTAAAAAGTATATACATAATTGCAGCTATGTGCAGCTATTTTAGTTAAATTGCTGTATTTTAAGCTCCATTTACTGTTTTACTTGATGTGGCATTGATGTTTCTCTGATTGCATTGTGTGGGTTGCACATTATGTAGTTTACCGTTCTGCAAAGCGATGATCTTCTGGTGCTGTTGCTCTGTGACAGCTGTCAAATCGTTCAAATGCTTCAGCGTCAACTCAAGAACTACAGCTTTTTCCAAGTGACCTAGAGTCTGTAAGACAATACGAACATTTATCGGATTTCCCTACTTTCTTGCTTTCCTTATGCGGGTTTAAAATTACAAAACACATTTTAACAAGACCAAACAAAATTCTGTTGACTTAAATTACCGTAAGTTTCAGATGTTCCGGTAATAAATCTTTCAGCTGCCCAATACATTCATTTATTCGGTCCCTCCTCTTTTTCTCAATCAGTCTGTGTGGTAACTTATACGCGTCCTGCGAATAAAAAGTATTAGCCATTGCAAAAAGTTCTTAAAGTAATAATTATCACACGGATTATTAAGGACTAGCGACACAAAGTGTTACGTGAACTTGACGGACATCACGTTTCCATCACGGGTCCACAGTTTGCTTACCTTTCCTTCCTCTCTCTTCACCCCTCTTTTGGATTTGCACATGTAGAGAGACGAATATTCAACCCTAAAAAAAGAAAACCCTAATTTTTAAGATGCAAATCTATTCATTTCGTCATCGACCTCACACATTTTAAAAAAACGTAACATTAGTTGCGTTTATTAAAAACAAAATAAAAAAACAACCGAACATAAAAAATTACCCCAAAAAATCCGCGTGATCCAGGAACTGTCTGCCCTGCATTCTCGGTATTCTTTCATCCATAACTTTGTCCTACTTTCTTGTGTGCTTCTTTTACAATCAGGTTTGTTAATCCAGTATCAGCGGATCGGCAGTGCGTTGTGTCCGGTCTCGCGCAGCTCCTCTGAATGATGATGTGTGTGCGCTCGCCTGAGCTGACACTCTCCCGCACTCACTCTGCGCGTGGCGACTACTGCGCACGCGCGCTGACTCACGTGTAAACTGCACCAGCTCTAGAGTCTGGGAATTAAATGTGCTTGAAAGTTGTCAGTTTATTGCTGAAGAGACGCTGAAATATAAAACCACAGCATAGCGCTCAGACGCCTTAAAATAATTGTTTTTGAGCTCTCAAGGATAACATCTAGCCTACACATCTAAATCTGAAATACCAGGATAGCCTACTTATTATATTATTTACAAGTATTTAATCTAAATGAGGATATGTCTTAGACATTTATTGTTTTTACATAATACCAGTTAGAATTATTATAGTCTACAGCCAACTTTTTGGCATAATAAATTAAAAAAAACATTATTTTATATTTCATTTTCTTTCCAATTTAGGACATCCCTAAAGGTCTGTTTACTATATATCTAGGCTAGTAATTCATATCTTTGGGGAAAAACGTATGCCATGTCAATGTGTTATTAATATTATTATTATAAATTATTATTATTATTGTATTAATATTTTATTACTAGATGAAATCATATTTTATTAGTAATCTCTCTGAATATTTGATTGTACCTGCAAATAGTTCACATTTCCTCAATATATTTTTAAATGGGCTACATCTTTGTAAAGATCTGCAAAAAGTTTGCCTGCTATATTGTAACAGAAATAAACTGTATCAGTTTTTTTTACGTATATCAACAAACTGCTAAGAAAATATTTGTGATAAATATTTTATGACAAATCATTTATTTGCAGCATTATAATGTGAACATTTCTGTGCAGCATGTTTAGCTTGAACTAACATTTAATGTACTGAGATTGCTTTGCCTATACATGCCATCTGAAACGAGGTGTGACAACACAAAAGCACATAGAATAAACTCTCAATATAGTCTGGCTGAAAGTAGACCGCATTCCATCAATATTCATCCTTCAGAAGGCTTTAGCAGATGAAACCATTATAAGATTATAAATCAGAGTTTTTCCAGCATATAAAGAAATATGAATCGAGTTTTACAAAAGGTCTAGGTGAATACAGACATATTCATTATAAGAAACATGCCCTGCATGTAGTTAATGACTCTCCATAATTAACACAAAATGAAATGAACGTAGCATATCTGCACTCTCTCATAATATTCATAAGAGATTAACTGTAACCCGCTCACATGCCCACGGGTCACGTAACTTCATCAAAATCATGTGACTGACTCCAGGCTGTTATGAATAGATTACACAGTGTGTTGCAGGAGGTTGGCAGGACTCGAGCACTCGCCCACATGTTCGCCAGAGACAAGAATTGTTTCCTGTTTAGTTTTCAGGGAGACTAGTAGCTGTCGTGTGTTGGAGTCCCCCTTCATGTCTTCCCTCCCCTTTCCAACCCTCCCTCCTTTCAGTCTCCTCTTCTGTGCTCTATATGTGGCTCTTGTGGAATCTGCTCCAAATGTTTTCCATATTAGTTCAGAGTCTTTTCTGATTCCGAATAGCAGGGATCGCGTAGGGAGCAAAGCCTCCAGTGAGGAGGAAGGGAAAGGGCAGGGCAAGGGAACAGTCCAGCTAAAGAGAGCAAAAGAAACACCAGGCGAGAAAGAAAAGGAAGGACAAACAGACAGAGGGCGAGTGCAAGAACGTCCAGTCGGCCTCAAAGGAAGATTAAGAATCTCAGTACGAGACGGGAGGAATTATGGGGTTGGGGACGAGTCCGATGGGGTCGGCTGGAGGAGGCAACGCAAACGCTGGCAAGGAGAAGAAGGGACAAGCAGAAACTGGAGGCCCAGTGCCGGAGGAAGCCCAAAAATGTTGTGGCTGCCGCTTTCCTTTGCTGGTCGCTCTGTTACAGCTTTTGCTGGGCGTCGCAGTAGCTGCTGTGGCCTTCCTCAATTACTTTCAAAAGACAGTAACTAGTAATATATAATGTATTACATTTTGGAAGTAACTTGCCCAACACTGATAAGCATACATAAACAATGTTACAGAGAGCATGCATGCATGTCCAAAAATAACATATTAGTGAGAACAATGAATACATTTATAAAGAGACTCATGAGTTTTAAAGCTGTTATGAGAATCATCACTGAGGGTGTCATGTTGCAAATCTGGAAAAAAAAACATTCAAACTCATATGCTAATCACAGTGGATTTTGCTTGTTCAGCTGTGATTTTTAAGTATTCGTGCAAAGTATCCAGTTGCAGAAACCTGTAACGAAAAATAGATTTAAAGTTTAAAAACAACACAGGTTCCTTAGATAAAAATACTACTAAAAATGCTACAGCTGTATGTTTGTTTGAGAATCACTGGAGAGTTAGATCAAACTGTACCTTTATAAATAGAAAACAAATCTTCAAAAGATTCAAAGCCATCCCTCCGTGCAGACATGCATGTCCAGTCACGTAGCCAAGCCGTATGACAACAAAACAGGGCTGAAACATGCAGGAGGATAACATTGCATGCATCTGTTTTTTTCTCCATGTACTTACAGAAATTACATTATACTTAACACTTGTTGATCCTAAATTGGCATTGGCACTGGTCTTTTACAAACTGCTTGTGAGAAGCTTCCTTTTGCTTTTCCCTCTTCCCTCAACTCCCAGCATGCCTTGTTTACTCTTTTGGGGCCATGCATGAGGCCGTCTCATATCAGATCCATTGGCCACACTGCCATACTGTACAACTTGTTGATCCTAAATTGGCATTGGCACTGGTCTTTTACAAACTGCTTGTGAGTCTCTCATTATGCTATATTATCACCAAATCTTGGATTCAATCTTTTCTCTCTCTCTCTCAATTTGTACAGGTTTATATTTCTATTTGGAACTGATTGGTCATAGGCTTGCCTCATTAATTTGAACTTAATATGCACCTCAGCTTTTCAGTGAACATTGCCTAAATTTCAACAAATAATGTTTTTTTGGTTTCAAAACATAATCATGCAGAAGCTCAGATCAATGAGGCTTATGGTCAATCACTTACAAAAAAACCTGTGCTAATTAAAAGAACACAAGCTGATAAAGTGAAAAAGAGAATCTTTGTATAACATTGCTCAACAGTCTTGTCCGATTATCGATAATACAGTATTTTTATCTATGTAATAACTTGTTCAAAACCTTTGAACAAGACTGTGTCAAGCAAACATTCAGGGTTTGTCTCGACAAACCTTTGCAGTAACACTTTACAATAAGGTCCCATTTGTTAATGTTAGTTGATGCATAAATTAATATTGAGCGATGAGCAATACATATGGTACAGTATTTAATATTCTTTGCTAATGTTAGTTAATAAAAATACACCTGTTTTTTGCTACTAGCTCAGGTCCATTAAATAATATTAACAGAACAGAATTAAAAATGTAAAAAATATTTAAAAAACGAAAATAATGCTAAAGTAAATATTGAAATTAACAATAATGCTTCAGAAGTATTTTTCGTTGTTAGTTTACGGTAGTAAAATAATGTAAACAATATAACCTTTTTTTTTTAAGTGTTATGAAATTGGCTTTCTTTTTAAAAATTACATTTGAATTTCTTTACATTTTTAATTCAGATTGCAATTTTGAATCCTGTTTGCTACCTCCATTCAACAAAACACTAAATGTAGTCTCAGTTCAATTCTAAATTCAGTCAGTTTCATTGTGTAAAACATTAGCTATTGTGGCAATAAAACAAAGTTTTATGAGATTACTATGTTAGATACACATTTAAATTCATGGATGCACATATCTGAGCGATAAGGTAGAACATCGCTGTGTGCTCTGGTATCTCAAGTTCAGGCCTCACGAGACCAGTGCTGCTGTTCCTGGAGAAAAACTCTGAGGTCACCAAACTTCTCTGCCTCAGATCCTGGGAAAAACAATCAAATTAGATACCACACTTTAGTCACAAGACTCCAATCACGCTGAGAAAAAGAGCGGGGAAAACACAGAGAGACAAAGAAGAAAAGAGTGAGATAAAAAGCGTGAAAGATAAAGATATCTTGGAGGGTGGGGGGTCAAGCTATTCAATTTGCAATGGCAGTCAATATATTATCAGATGACAACTCAATGCTGAGTTGCACAATGCTGATTACAATAAGGGTTATGGTTGGCTCATAACAAGCCTGGCAGATGCAGAGAATTTAGGAGGTCTGCTGCACTGCAAATGAGATTAGAGCAACCCAGTACACTGGTATGTGTTCATGACAACAATGGCAACATTTTGCAACAACAGACTCTGAGATGCACATGATCATGGTGATTACCCTCCAAATGGCCTATTAAAACTTGATTAGCATGTATGATTAGTTTATATATTGTACATTTAGGGTGTAAAAGATAACAGGTCTATAGATTGCTGCAGGGATGCCGTATTTTGTTGGCCAGAACTTTAAAGTTAGCATTTTAGCACTTCTGGTTCCATCATCCTGAAGTTAGTTTTTTTTTTTTTTTTAATGTTTTTTTTTTAGTTAAATGCCTGAAATAAGGTCTGTCCCTATTGAAAAAAAACAGCACATGCTGGTATGTTTTGAAGCATGGCAGCTGGTTTAAATTGGTACTTAGTTGGTTATGAGCTGGTTTAAGCTGGCCATATGCTACTGCTAAAATGGTTAAGCAACTAGCTCCTGCTCAGGACCAGCTTAAACCAGCTCATGACCAACTAAGGACCATCTTAAACCAGCACATGACCAACCTTAACCAGCTCATAACCAGCTTATAACCAACTAAGTACCAGCTTAAACCAGCTCAAACAAGCATATTTTACATTATTACAACACCTCTCTCCCCAGTCTGGCATGAACGGCTCGAATAGTTCCTGTATCAAATGAAGGCCCGCCTTCTGAAATACGAAATGTGCTGTGATTGGTTAGCTGGGGCAGTGTGTGTTGTGATTGGCAGCACTCGCCGCCTGGTCACAGCAACATTACAGACTAACTAAAGTTGAAAAAGTGAAAAAGCATAATAGGACCCCTTTAAAGCTTTAATTTCTGAAAAAGGCGGTTGCTAACTCTTCAAAGAGTATGTTTTCTAAATCAAAGTTTTGTCCAAAGTTTAGAGATGGTGACATAAAGTCATGATTGTGGTGATTGCAGTTTCGTTTATAGCCAGAATTTGGCTTTTTAGTTCTTGCGATTGTTTTTCAGCTTCAAAAGTTGTGTTCATTTGTGAAGGTTATCCTGATGAACAAAATGTGTGAGAATCATAAACTTTGTTTGTCACAGAGCTCATTTTCTGCAATAATCCAAAAGCCAATGCACAAATCCTATTGTTTTTTTTTTGTCAAGGGAATCAGGGTGATGCTAATTTCTGGGTCGGCCTACAAAAAGTGTCATCTCTGCAGCACTCTATAAAAATACTCTATGTTGTGTTTTACAGATGATTGTGGTGTCTCTGCTGGGATTCATCCTCTTCTGCATCACCAGAGTGCCTGATGAGAGAGCGTCGGCTCAATTTATTGTAAAGGTAAAAAAATGAATGCATTTTTTGGATGAACCGAGATTTACATTTGCACCTCATCTGTAAATGCTTTTCAAATGGACTTTAAAACATGTAGGGGTGCAACTTAGCTCGGAGAGCAGGGGATTCTATGATAAAAATGTAGTAGGTATCGAGCAGCGGGCAATTCTCTTGCATTTTAAAGGAATGATTCATCCAGAAATTAAAATTATGTCACCATATAGCCTAATGATCATTTACTCAGTCCATGTCATTCCAACCCACTGTTATTATATACGTGATACACACAAGGATATGAATGTCCATGCAGCTCTTTTTTCCATTCATCAAAAGTGGAAGGTGATTTAAATCTCCAAAAAGCATCATATAATAAAAGTAGCGCATATTACTCATAAATCAATATTCCAAGTCTTCCGAATGAATTAGCGATGTTCTTTTGAGTCAGTTGTTTTCAATGAATCAGTTGAAGTGGTTCGCACAACTGGTCTAACTTATTTTTATTATCTGCAAGATGTCTGTTAAAGAGCGCTTCATCTGGAAAGCATCTGCTGTGTACAAACATCTGATAAATGCATTTAAAATGTCAGTTTTTCATACATTTGAAATCATAAACGTCTTAAAGGCATTTTCTAAATGTCTATTTAACGTCTGACAGGAAACGTATTGCAGATGAGCAAACACATCAAATCGATGTCTCTGAGATGTGCTATCAGGGAACGAATGATCTGATAAGAGTGAAAAGGGGATTTGATTTTATGTTCATTTACAGTGTATTCCAAAATAACATTTTCTGGACACATGTTTACAACTTAAGATGAATCATGACTTGAATCGAAAAAAAAAAAGGCTAACTGGGACGGTTTAATTTAAGTATGGCTGTGTACGAAATCGCATGCTCTCTGAGTAGGTGAAAGTAGTTACTTTGTGAGCATTAAAAAAATAAGCTCTATATGAATGAGCATGAATGTCTTGAATATAAATGAAAATACGGACATGCTTCATTTGTAATTTTGTCATTGTCATGTGACTCACATTGTCAGTTGTGGCACTTCATTGCACATTCACAAAAACTCTCTTTTTTGGAGCTTTACGTTTAAAATCGCTATCATTGTTATTGTATGGTGAATGTTCTGGGTTCTGGCTATATCTCCTTTTGTGTTTCACATAAAGAAAGTAATACTATAGGTCTGTATGGTGTGAGTGTGCTAATGACAAAATCAAAATGTTCAGGTCATCTGTTTCTGTAATTAGGCCTATTTTTTAATATTTAATGGCCAATTGACATTGGCAGTAACATTCCTGAGTCATCAAGTCAGAACATTGAGCTGGTTTTAAATGAACAAGAATAGGCCTTTTAGTCTATTTAAATCTGATTTCCAGCACCTTGCCTTAATCATCACAAATGACTGTAAGCGCTCTCTCACTTCTGCCCAGCTCCTGTACTTCTTCCTGTGCACGATGGGGCTGGTCATTTCCGCAGTGGTCATCGCCTTCCAGTGCTACCATTACGCCCTGACTAACAGCTACAGCTGCAAGGAAATGGGGGAGCATTGTATGTGCACCCTGGACCCTGAGGATCCCATCGCCCGCACTTTCTCCTACAGCGGTGTGACAGACTGCAGTGCCATCGTAAGCACTCTACCCATGTATTACCTTCTGCAGATGGTGCTGAACCTGGCTCAGGCTATCGTCTGCCTGGTGGGGGCCTTCCTCTTATGGAAGCACAGGTACCAGGTGTTTTTCGCTGGGCTACAGACGGGATCTCCTTCTGCCCAGAATTGGCAGAAAGTTTAGGGCACTGAGAGATTTCTCTGGAGAAGTAAACGTGTGGAGCGTGGGAGTGTTTGCTGCAATATTTTATGCCATGTGACCTTTTATCAAAGCAGCTGAATGAGTCTGCGTTTGTATTGCCATATTATAATATTTTGGAAAGTTTTATGCAACCTTTAGCATTATTGTATTTTTCTACATGAAAATTTCCGCTTGTCGAGGTTAACTTTTTACTTTTACCATTGCCAAGGAGAGTATTTTTATCTATGAAACCAGTAAGTGACGCAAAACGAGGCCTGACATTTTAGGAAAATGAGCGACACAATCTGTTGTTGTGTTTGTTCCTGTTGTGGCAATGGCATGCCTAAATTTCCTTTAATTGCCAGCATTAAATTTTGCTTAGTCAAAAAACCCAAAACACCTTAAAATGCAATTATTCACAAATGTACCTTTTTTCTAACTTCAGGTGCATTCATTGTTTCTGAGACAAAATCCCTGGTTGTTCAATTACTGTTGGGATTATTAAAATATTTTAAAATTATGCAAAATATAATGTATTAAATTAGATTTCATATTTGCATTTTTTTATTATGTGAAACAATATATATCGTTGAATGCATATATACAGTGGGTACGGAAAGTATTCAGACCCCCTTAAATTTTTCACTCTTTGTTATATTGCAGCCATTTGCTAAAATCATTTAAGTTATCAATTCCAGGTGTGAAAAACTTGTTGCATCTTTTCCAAAAAGACTCATGGCTGTATTAGATCAAATGGGTGCTTCTACTAAATACTGAGCATTTTTCAGTTTTTCTTTTTTAATAAATCTGCAAAGATGTCAACAATTCTGTGTTTTTCTGTCAATATGGGGTGCTGTGTGTACATTAATGAGGAAAAAAAATTAACTTAAATGATTTTAGCAAATGGCTGCAATATAACAAAGAGTGAAAAATTTAAGGGGGTCTGAATACTTTCCGTACCCACTGTATATTTAAATATTTAAATTTCTTAAAATTATGCATATATATAGTAAAATAAAGTAAAATATTGGTTTCTAACTGTTAGACTTACAAATCTGATTTTATTTATAACTTCTAGTCTATTAATAAGCCATATTAAACACTCATGAGAATACACACAGAAGCAACACTCTTTAATATTTCTTAGATGAAACATGATTTCTAAAATATAACATATCAGTTTATTGAATACAGTACTGCTTTACCTGAAGAACTGTCTAGAGCACTTAAAAAACAAAAGCACTGTGTACACAGCAGTCAGAAATAATAGGTGTGTGCAGTGACGAGGCTGGACGGGCTTGTGGACTGAAGTCATACAGCCAGTGAACAGCAGTCAGTCAGGGATTGGGGGGATTCAAAGGGGTACTTTGACAAACAGCAGGTCACTGCCTCCAGATTCATGCAATGGCCTTTAAAGGGGTCATATGATGCTTTTTTAAAGATCATTATTTTGTGTATTTGGTGTAACAGAATATGTTGACATGCTTTAATGTTCAAAAAACACATTATTTTTCAAATACTGTACATTCAGTACACAAGCCACGGTTAAGACAGCTGACTCCAATGTGATGTGATGCGCTCTCTCTCTCTCGCGCTCTCTCTAGAGAAAGGAAAACTTGAAATCGCATCATATGACCCCTTTAACCTTTTTTTATTTTACATATAGGTCTATTGCATATTTGAAATTTGTGGCGAGGTGAAAAATGAGCGAATGTAAAGCCTGACAATCAAACCAAAAAGCTCTGTTTGTTATCATGAAGTCCTTGTCAATGAAGCTTGTAAACCAAATTAAAAGAACACTGCCAACAGGAAGAGAGCTGCCTGAGGTGTTAAAAAAGTCTGTTGCTTTAAAGAGACCTTCAGTCTGGTGTTTGGAAGAGATGCAACATGATGCTTCAGCACAGAAAAAAAAAACGCCCATAAATGTAAGCTTTGTATGACTCATCTTTCCTTTGAGCTGATTTCTAATAAAAGGCATTTACATAACCCTCTCTCCTTCATCATTCAATTGCATGTCCTTTAAAAATTATTAATTGAATTTCAATTAATATTTGTTTCTCTCATGTTGTTAAGCAAACAGAAATATGCCATCTTTGGATCCACAATGATGTGAATGTAATCTAATAATAATAATAATGATAATATACTACTAATAATTTTATAATATATTCAAGGTTTTTTTATTAAAAATAAATTAAAATAAATAAGGTTTGTTCATTTTTATAGTTTACTGTATGTGAATAATAATGTACAGTACCGTTCAAAAGTTTGGATTTATCAAAAACACAGTAAAAACAGTATTAATTCAATTTTACATAACGGTTCTCTATATATTTTAAAATGTCATTTATTCCTCTAAAGGCAAAGCTGAATTTTCAGCTGCCATTACTCCAGTCTTCAGTGTCACATGATTCTTCAGAAATCATTTTGGTCGCCCAGAAACATTTCTTATTATTATCAGTGTTAAAAATGTTGCACTAAGCATGATACTTTTTCAGAATTCTTTGATGAATAAAATGTTCAGAAGAACAGCTTTTATTTGAAATAGAAATATTTTGAAATATTATCAAGTCTTTACAGTCACTTTTGATCAATTTAATGCATCATTGCTGAATAAAAGTATTAATTTCTTTAAAGAAATTTAATTAAAATAATAAAAAAATAACAGTAGTGTTTGTGAATCTGTAATGTGAATAGTGACCATGGGCTGAAGCTCAAAACAGGGAAAAAAATATCATAAAACTTGGTTTTGTCTTTTTTTTTTACACTGTAAAACCGGACAAATTAAATTTTTATACTAATTACTCAAAAAATTGGAGGTGAATGAACGTTTTTATTTCTTTTGAGTAATTACAACCCAATTCCTTTATCAAAGATTTACTATTTGGTCTTACAGTGTACTTGACAGATATGGTCACCATTTTCTTTCACTGTATGGATAAGAGCAGCGTGAACATTTTGATAAACATCTTTTGCATTCCACAGAATAATGTCAAAGGGGTTTGGAATGACATCAGGATGCATAAATGGCATAATTTAATTTTTTGGGGTGAACTATTCCCGTAACAGAACCATATTTTGCAGATCTCCTCAGTCTCTGCAGCAGAACTTCAGCGAGTCACCCTGTACACTATTAAATTAAGCAGGAACGCCGAGTCAAATGAAAAATCCCAATTGATTTGCAGTGCTTTTAGGAAAGAGCGCAGCAGGGGCGATCTCTCAGCTCATGTGACAGATCTCATCTGCTCTCCGACCAACCAGCATGACAACAACACGCACAATCACATGCAGACCCATCACATGCAGAAAGAAGGAAGGCAGTGTGGTACATTTAGATTAATGAGTGTGTTTATGCAGGATGTTGTTCACTGTCTTGCGTTAATAACTGCACACCTGCATGACTGAACTGTGAGAAAGACTATGCGTAAAGGAGAGATCAAATCTTATCATCATTAAAACCAATTCAAATATTTTAAATATTAAATATTTATTTTTGGCATTTTTTGCAATAGGGCAGTTCGATGACATGAAGCGACGGAGGCAGAAAGTGGGATGGGATCGGAAAAGGTCCACAGTGTTGCCAAGTCCGCGGAATTATGCTACTTTTGCCGGGGGTTGTTTTTCATGGCCACAGGTTTAGGCGACCCCAATTACCTGATATTTAGCCCCTAAAATGCTAATTTTACCTGGGGAACCCCGCCTAAAAACGTGTATTTTACCCCTGGGAACGCGATTTTTACTGACCCCCCCTCGAAACGCGATTGGGCTAGTTTTGAGTAGCAATTGGGCAGTTTTGTTGTAAAAACCTGGCAACCCTGACTGGGACTCGAACTCGGGAAGCGCAGCGCTTCCAGTCAAGTTATTATCGATTCATTATCGAATGAAAAAATCGGAAATGATCGCTTTGGTACATTGAGAAGGAATAAATATAAAATATTAATAATAATAACTAAAAAAAAAAAAAAAAAAAAAAACAGGGCAGCCTGCCAAATCAGTCACCGGGAGTTCTCCCGGTGCTCTTGATGGCCAGTCCGTCTTCTTCTCCCTGATGGAGCATTCCAGACGTGCTGGACTTTCCCCTATTTAGTGACAGCTGTGGGCTATAATGGAGCAGTCAATGGCTAATTTTAACTCGTTCCAGAGTGAAGGCAGGAGCAGACGTGAGTCTTTACACTCTCAAGTAACTAGGCAGAATCCTGTACCCAAAAACCACCAGAGTATTATAGACAGTTCACCCAAAATAAAATTTGCTGAAAATTCACATACCCTCAGGCCATTCGAAGTGTAGATTAGTTTGTTTCTTCATCAGAACAGATTTGGAAAAATTTAGCATTACATCACTTGCTGACCAAAGGATCCTCTGCAGTGAATGGGTGCCGTCAGAATGAGAGTCCAAACAGCTGATAAAAACATCACAATAATCCACATGACTTCAGTCCATCAATTAACATCTTGTGAAAATGAAAAGCTGATATATTAGAAAACCATATTTTAAATAATTGCTGTTAGTTTCCACAAAAATGTTAAGTAGCACAACTGTTTTCAACATTGATAATAACAAGAAAAGTTTCTTGAGCACCATTTCTGAAGGATCATGTGACAATTCTGTAGTATTTTCAATCAATATTACATTATAATGCTGGATGTCTGATTTAAATGCTTTTTGTTAACTTCGTGTGCTTAACTGTTCTAGTAGAGTGTCAAGTTGCCATGACCATTAAAATAGCATTTGAGATCCATTGCTTGTGTGGCAATCTGAACTCTGTACACAGATCTGATAACAGGTGTCTCGTATCAGCAATCAGTGCACAACACATGCATATTCATCATTTACAATATGATCTTATCTTCAGATATTCTCAAGATGCCTAAATATTCCAAAAAGGATTGCTTCTATAGTTTCACATAATTTAACCCTCTTAACCTTAGAGTTTCTAAATGGTTTAAAGAATAGAGAGTCACAGTAACCATTGTAATACCAAATATAAATTCTTTATTATTTTCTGTACAACTTTATATAAGGCAAACACAAATATGCTAGACACATCTCCAACATAAAATACACAATAAAAATGATCATCATTTAAGAGTTAAGACTAGCGTTTAGGTCTTTGTAGAAGGTGACACAAACAGATTCCAACAGTCACATGATTGTCTGATTATGAGATGATAATATTTCCAAGTCTTATATCTTTCATTAAAGTAATTGTGAATTTGAATAATAAAAAACTATTAAATTGTTTGAAGGCACTTTATCTTTCCAGTTATTCCAGCACAGACTAAAGTCCACATTGAATTACAGCAATACTCCAGTTATGGACAGGACAATTAAAATGTTAGGGAGTTAATACTTGACGCTTAAAAAAAAAAAATAAAAAAAAAAATTTCAGACAGCCCTTCCAAAGACTGTTTGAGTCATCTGATGTGAGCCCTCATACGCACAGGGTTCATGATTTTCCAAACAAACACACTCTGTATATTTCCAAACGTCCTCCGTCTATAAGATCTAAACGAGAAAACACTTACAAAACGACGCTCAAGACTGTAGGATCTAACTGGACAACTGTCATGTCATGGTGTAAAGTGTGGTATCACCATGAGTGTAGTGTTGTTCATGGTGTGAACATCAGCATCTGTGTGTGAGTGTGTGTGGAGAAGTGCGATGAGTCGTCCTCAGTGTGCAGGGGGGATTTGATGGTTCATCTGTGATGGTCCCAGGAAGCCTAGTCTCTGTTTATTCTTCCTTTGCTCTGTCATCTGTACATGTGCAGAAAAACACACACATAAAACAGGGAAGCCAATTCAGTTGCATCAAATTACAGCCTAAATAAAATTATCCTACAAGGCTATCAGCTCCAAAATAAATAAAAATAAATAAAATAAATAATAATATTTTAAAAGTAATTACAGTAAAAGAGTGTAAAAATGCTGCTAACTGCCAAAACTGGTTAATGTCATATTTACTTATTACATGAGTGAAAAATTTTAACAGATCTAATGAGATGTTTCATATAATTTTACAGTAAAATACTGTTTTGAGAAGTGAAAAAGAACATTTGTGTACCAGCTCACATTTTCATGTTTTTATTGAATTCACTGTTTCTTCTTAGTTTTATCAGTTATGTACGTTATGGTTTTAAGTTACATCAAATGTTGAATTAATGTTTATTGCATTATTTTAGTACCATGACAGTGCTTTATATTTGGTTGTATGACACCATGCACTGCATATTATGTTATATTTTATTTTATTTTTTATTGTACATCGTATCAGCATGAAAGGCTATATTCATAGCAATCCCAAATGTAACAAGATTTAAACTAGTATTAACAACAATAATTCACTGAGCTGTATACAATAATTGAACAATATTATTTTTCCAAACCAAAAAAAAAGTTAAAATAATTAAATTATTAAAATTATTTTTAAAATGATATACACAATCTTCCAATTTTATATTTGAAAAAAAAAAATAATTCTAATATTTTCCCAGGAGAATTTAAAAATTATCCTTAATGTAATTTCTGAGTAAAAATAGATTGATTGAATCATGTGGCTTTTTCTCCACCACCTGTTTGTAAGGAGTATATCAGTATATTTTAAATGTTTTAACTGTAAATTTAGGATTTTAACAGTAAATTAACTGTAAATCAATCTGTAAATGCTACCTTTTTAACAGTAAAGTTCTAGTAACCAAAGCTGACACTTTTTTTTACTGTAAATTTCACTGATCTTCTAATAGTGTACTTTCTGAAGACGCATTTACATTTATGGTTGTGCAGTGAAATTATGTGGGCAATATCTAGTCAGTTTGAAAAAGTTTCTCATGCAAATTTAATTAATTTTCAAGTCATTTTCAATAATTTTCTGTATTGACCATCAGAAAGCTGCTTGGTTCGAAAGTGACTTCTGAGCTACTCTACTGACAATAGACAATGGACTTTTTTTCACTGTGAAATTTTGCTAATGTGACAGCACAGACACAATTATTCTGTTTCAAAACTTATCAACTTGCCTCCATTAATCACCATTTTAGAGTGTCATTTCTACACTCTCGACGTGAAGTCTGTTTAAAAGGATAGGACATGACAATGACGATTTTCATTTTTGGCTGAATTGTTCCTTTACAACATAGTGTCATTTGCACCAATATCAAAACAACCTCTCATTCCATGGGTCACTTTTTACTTTCCCAAACACACTGGGGTTTTAACCGACATTGACCTCGTGGCCATTCCAGACAAAGAGAAGGAACTTCCAAGTAAACAGCCCTAGCAAGAAAACGGAGGTGGAACACTGAATCAGAGAGAGCCTGTTTGTCTGAACACATGACAAGTTCGGATTTCGCCTACTGCATCTGAGCTGGATATCAGCCTGGCTCGAGCTGAGAGGTGAGGAGGATCTGTTTAATTAGGCCTGGCTGTCGGAGAAGAAATCACTTTAATAAGTTATTTAACATCCAGCACTGCCAGGAGAATTACAGTAAGCCCGCTCCTCCGGCAGGAATCAGAAGGACCGCTGGAGGATGTGAGTGGCACCACGGTGTGGTTAACAGTTCTGGTTCCACTGTTTCAGGCTCACTGGTTTGGATCAGTGCCGATTCCCAATGACTGTGCAGTTTCTGTGTGTTTACGTGCGAGTACAGTTCACATCTGAAGTCTAAGGTCAAACAAACATGCAGACCTTAGTGAGGAACTTAAAAAAATGAGCCATGGGGCAGCAATTTCTTTCCAGCGTCATCCCATTAGAACTGAAAGCTCTCCCTCTCCCTGTGTCATGTGAATCGGTTAAACTGTTTGTGTGGAATCACATGTGGGCCAGGCAGGTGATGGCCGTGATCCGACACAGCGGAGCACAGCCGGAACATCCATATGGCCCGGGGGCACCGCCCCACCCCTGCTCTGACGCACTTCCACAGCAGGGCCTAATAGTAAACACTTCAGAGGCCCCGTGAAGAAAAACACTGTTTTGCTCTGTGAAACCGGGCTGTCCCATTGGACGGCGTGCTGTATGTTACCTGCTCTTTAAGCTCAGACAGCTGGGAAGACAGCTGAGCCACGAGACCGACGGTGGTGTCCAGCCTCTCCTGCAGCGATCTGATCTCGTTCTGTTCGCTCTCTCCCTCAGAGCTTACCAAAGACATGGCCCTCATCCGTGGAAACCAGTCCAGATTCTTCTCCTGAAGGAAAAAAAGAGATGTGAATGTCGCTGGGAAAACTTCCCAAACATTTATAAATGAAATAGCATTTAACTATTTTGCAATAGACATCTTTCAGACATACTGGATTTTACACATTTACATTACCATTAAATTCAGTAAACTTTTATAATTTTTTTTAAAGAAATTAATCCCTTTATTTAGCAAGCATGTAAGTTGATCAAAAGTGACAGTAGGCTTTTGTAATGTCACAAAAAATTATTTCAAATAAATGCTGTTCCTTTGAACTTTATATTCATTGAAGACTCCTGAAAAAATTATCAATTATCAGTTTCCACTTCTACTTAATCACAGTTCCTGCTGCTTAAAATATTAAGCAACAGCTGTTTTCAGCATTGATAAGAAATGTTTCTTGAGCAGAATGATTTCTGAAGGATCATGTGATACTGCGTTTCCATTAGCCTTCAAATTGCGCAAATTGAAATTGCGAATTGAAAATTCGTCTAATAGAAACACGTAAATTTTGCAAAAACTCCTATATATCACAAAAAAAGGCAATTCGAAAAATGAATATAAATCGCAAAACTGCAATGGAAACATTTTTTTCACATTTACAGGTCACCTGCCATATGTAAAAGTCACATGGTCATTCTTTAATGTACTATAACCTCCAAGAAACACCTCGTACGTGGCCGCTCTCAAGTATAAAGCACTTTCCTTGCCATTAATGCTTGGATAACCCCTTTTTTACACTGCGTTATGGCTCTGATACAGCCACTGGCCACTCTAGTCAATGCTTGTGTTTATACCAGCTGCGCTGCGACATGTTTCAGAAGCGTTCCAGAAGCAGCTCTCCGCACTGCTTCGCTAAAGATACATGCCTATGTCTACTTTGATTAAAAATAATAGCTAGTGCGGTGGCTGCAATATACGTAAACCTACAAACATCCATCACCATGACTTATCACTAGAGGAAAAAATTACATTTTAGTCACTTAACATGGGTTAATGGAAATTCGCAATAGGTTTTTATCGACATTTATAAAATATCGCAAAAGTTTTGCACAAATCTGTAATGGAAACCCGACTACTAAAGACTGGAGTAATGGCTGCTGAATATTCAGCTTTTTTTTTTTTTATTAATAGAAAAAATATTTTCAGAACCAATAATGCTGAAAAAGTTATATTTTTTCATGATGGAATAATGACTAAAAAAACGACAAAACTACAAAACAATAACAGTCCTCAGAAAAACTGAGACTTAGAGATTATACATGTGACGAGAGGGGCGGGGCCGAGAGCCGTGGGAACGGAGCAAGGCCGGTGGAGTAAATGCTAATGCACGACACCTGCGCCACTCACCGGTCTCGAGTCCCACGAAGGAGCTCCGGAAGGATAAAAGGAGGAGTGACGACAGTGTTGGGGGAGAGAGGACCAGGCCTGGATTTTATTTTGTGTTTTGTGTGCGGCAGTCGTCCGCGAGGGGCTGCCGCTTTACTTTCATTTTGTGTTTGTTTATTTTATTAAAGTCTTTAAACGTTCGCCGGTTCCAGCCTCCTTCTTCCCATGACTACGAACTTTGTTACAATACATAATAACAGGAACACCGCTCACAGCAGGTGATTTGAAGTATAAGAGTAATTGTCTTCAAAATCATTGCTGAATATGATGAATGAGTTACAAAAGCGGGTTTAATGGCTCTAGGATTTAACGACACTACTTATTGAAGGATGTTTTACCCTGCTGACAGTCTCACACTCTACAGTGCAAGTGAAGCAGCAGAGTTTTGTTGCATAACAGTTGCAGTTAAAGTCTGTAGCACACTAAAGCACAGCATGTTGCCACCAAGCGGCAACCTTCCGGTCTCTCTATTGAAACCAACACGGAAGTGACTTAAACTGCAATTCATCGACTGGCCGCTACAGACTGGCTCCAAAAGGGAGTCAGTCCCATAGACTCCCCATGTTAAAATGCCCAACTTTACAGCAGAAAAAAATGTGTTTACAGCCTGGTACAAAAAGTGGTTTTGGTCTATATAGCTAATTTTGCCCTTTATGACAACTGTGAGGGGAGTGAATTTTTTTTTATAACTCATCCATTTAAATTATATTAAGCCTTAAAGTTCAGCAAAATTAGGGGCGTGGCCACTTGAGTGACAGGTGGATTGCCGCTGCTGTGTCACCACCGTCGCGCAAGGCGGGTGTGGTTTCAGCAACCAGCTCCACCCACATACCGCCTTTTTGCCCATTTTCGATTATCCGGGAGTGACGCGCAGCCAAGATGGCGACGGCCGTCTCTGCACACTTTGAGCTTCAAAAATGTTCTTCAGAAACCTACGGGTGACGTCACGGACACTACGTCCATGTTTTTTTACAGTCTATGGTTGCCACCAAGAAACTGCCACTCTAAAAAGCAGTGGAAAATGGTAGGCCTCAAAAATGGGTCACAAATCTGTTTTGATCAGGTTGTGGATAGAAGCTTCACAGTAAGTTTACACTGCTGTTGAAGTTTAGGGTGTAAAAAGATTTTTTAATGTTTTTGAAAGAATCTTTTATGCTCACCTAGGTTTCAAAAACAATAAGTTAAAGTTAAACAGGATTAAAAAAAAAAAAAAAAACAGTAAAAAAAGTAACATTGTCAAATATTATTCCAATTTAAAATAACAGTTTTCTATTATAATATATTTTAAAATCCAATTCATTCCTTTGAAGGCAAAGCTGAATTTTCAGCGTCATTAATCCAGTCTTCAGTGTCACATGATTCTTCAGAAATCATTCTAATAAGCTGTTTTGCTGCTTACGAAACATTCAATTCTGCTTTTATTTTTTGCAGAAATAGATTTTTATTTGTAACAATGTAAAAGTCTTAAAAGTGTGAAAGTATTAGAACTTTTTGACCCACCGTGCAAAGTTCAATTAATCAGAACACAAATTCATCGCTTGGAGGAATCTATTCATTTTAGATGTCAACATGGACAGGATATTTGACATTACAAAATAAAAGAAAATGAGACCCAGACTACATTAAAACGTTTTAAATGGCTTTGTGCTGCGAACTATCGCCTGACTAGACTAGAGCATGGACGATAAAGTTGATCATCATGACCCATATTTACATGCAAAAGCAAGCTCATGAATATGCTGAAACTCCCTCAAGCTTTTTCCTTCAAAAGCTAAAGCATATAGAGGTAAATCTGGACACTTTAAACGCCTGGATGCAAAGATAGCTCTAGAAACAGGAAGTAGTCATGCAAATGAACTGCAGTCAGAGTTTTTTTTGTGTTTTAGATAATAACAGTGAGTCATTCTGCTTGTAAAGTGTGTGCCCACACAGTAGCTCACGCACAAGATATTTGTTTGCGTTCTACAATTTGCTGTGTGTGAGTGTGTGTGTGATTAGTGTGTATATATGAGCTTATCTAGTCTGGGGTGTGTGAGATAAGGAGGGGGGTAACAGAGCGGTGGCTCATCATAGCAGTTATGTAAGGTGCTTTTCAGTCAGCCTGACAGAAGCGCTTCAAGGTGCACAAAGAGTTCCACGATATGTTTAGAGGTGGGAAAAGACTGCCTTCCCTTACACAATCATGAAACACACGCTCACGAGGTGACACACCTGGGCACACGCATCTTCTGATTCGAATACAGTGCTTTTCTCTGCTATACAATAGGGAATGAGGCTTTCCAAGAAAAACACACTGGATAAACACGCCGCTCTTCTAAGAAACAGGCACATGAACAAGGTCAAGCACACCTTATAGGGGGGGTATAGAAAGCCAGAGAGGAGACATGAAACCTGGACACCATTGAGCGAGTTTAGTCAGGGTCAACTGATCATAACTTATCATAAAATTATACATGATTAATAAACACTGAACATTCAGTGATAAGGGCCTTCCCACTCAAGCTCAAGGCAAGAAAAATATTAAAATGTTCATATATTGAATATGCACTACTGTTAAAAGGTTTGGGGTCAGAAAGATTTTTGATAACATTTTACATTAGTTAAAATAGCAATGAACAATACTTCTAATACATTTATTAATTTTACTTAATGTCAATCTCAACATTTATTAATACATTTTTAAGTTCAAAAGTTGTATCTGTTCACATTAGATAATGCCCAGTGAACTGTAACATTCAAATGAGCAACTAACATTAACAAAGGTTGATGAATGACATAAAATATATTGCTCATTGTTAATTAATGCATTAACTAATGTTAACAAATTAGACTATACTGTAAAGTGTTCCTAGATTGTTTTGAAAGAAGTCCCTTTTGCTCAATAAGGCAACATTTATTTGATCAAAAATACAGTAAAAACATGTTATGTAATTGTTATTGTAATGTTATGTTATGTAAAAACATTTTATGTAATTGGTTAGAATAAACTGTGGTGAATAAACAACAACATTTTTGAATGAATTTAAAAGACTGAAATTATTTAAGTCATTTAGTGTTAATGTTCCTAAATTATGGAACTCATTACCCCTTACTCTCCGTACCATCCCATCTTTGTCTGCTTTCAAGAGTCATTTAAAAACATATCTGTTTAAAATGTACTTTGGATAATGGCTATATGTTGTATATGTGTTTATACTGTATTTGTGTCCATATTGCTAGTGTGGATGTACAAAACTACTTGTTAAGTGACCTTGAGCTACGGAAAGGCACTATATAAATAAAACTTCTTCTTCTTCTATAAGTTAAATATCCATTCTAGCACTGATTTTAAATAAATTCATACTTTATTTAGCAAATACACATTGATCACAACTGATCAAGAAGACATTTATAATGTTTATATAATATTTTCATTTCAAATAAATGCTGTTCCTTTGAACTTACTATTCATTAAAGGATCCTGAAAAACAGCACAACTGTTTTCAACATTGATACTAATAAGTAATCTTTCTCGAGCACCAAATTAGCATATTAGAATGGTTTCTGAATGATCATGCGACACTAAAGGCTGCTGAAAATTAAGCTTTGCCATCACAGAAATAAATGACACTTTAAAATTTATTAACATGGAAAACAGTTATAATATTTCACAATATTAAAATCTTTACAGTATTTTTTTATCAAATAAATGCATCCTCATAAGAGACTTCTTTCAAAAACATTTAAAAAAATCTTACCAACCCCAATCCTTTGAATGGTAGTGTATGCAAACAAACAAATTAACCTGCAACTAAGACAGACAAAAATATTATAACGTCAAAGAAATTACATTAATCACAAATAGCACCTTATAACGTAGCAGCTAATACCTCACAAACATACACGCACACATATACGCTTCAGCACATTAACGCCACTGCAGACTTGTGTGTGGGAAAGGTGTTTGAGTTGTCATTAAAGCACCATTAAACTTCTTTTCCCATCTGACAGACAGCATAATCGTTCTATCACGTGTCCTCGGCTCTCATCACCATAAAGCTGCTGTTTTGTAATAGAAAGGCGGTTTCAGAGCACTGGAAATAGCAGCATGATTGCAATAATGTGTTTGATTAGCATGGCTGGCTGCTGCACACGCACTCCTGCAGTCATCCGTTCACACACACACACACACACACACATACACACACACACACATCCCGAGACGCCCAGCTGGGAGAAGCGAATCCAACGGTAAATCCGTGACCTTTGAACTCGCATTGATCGCAAGTCTAGAGGCCGAGGAGTTTTTTATTCTCATTCCTGCCGACAGTGCATGACGATGGTGTTGCCAAGGAGACGCCTGACTCACTGTGTGATAATGAGCGGCGTAGCAGGTGTGTGTGTGTGTGTGTGTGGGACAGGAAAGCACGTGTGAGGACAGGCTGAGCTAATAGCAGGCCACTTGTGATGGGTTACATAACAATGCTGTGACTGCAGCAGTACCTGCTCACACTCTCTTTCCAGCAGCCTGTGAATGATAATCACACACACACACACACCTGCTTTAATGTAAACTTGCAGTTGAAACTCTGTGCTGCACTCTTCTCTTTGAATACAAGCAGAGAAGCTACGGTGAGCTGGTTTGCAGACATTTGCATTAGTTGTGTTTTCAGGTGACTGGAGTCTACACACACACACACACACACACACACACACTTAATTTAAAAGCCAGACTGTAGTATTTTGCATTCAGTTACTGTTTCCTGCCGCCTGCTATACTACAAAAGCTGAAGATCCTTATATGAGACAGAACAAGCTAAACAAGTGTTATTTATGTTTCGCCCATGCCTCATCTCTCCCATCTCAGCTTTAATGAGGGCCCTTGTGTTTGCAGCAACTCGCAGTAATTAGTTAATATAGTACTAATAAAACTCTATGTGTCATCAGTAGGGCTGCATGGTATCTGGGCCTGCAGAAAGCTCTGTAGATTTCCACACAATACAAACACCTGTCTACTAACATGCCATTTTATTGGCCAGGCTGATAAAATGGGCAACCTTTGGCCCTTTTCAGCTTATCAGCATTTGTCACTAACAGTGCACTTAGATTTTTTTTGTTTTACATTAATATTTTTATTCAGCAAGGATGCAATAAACTGATCAAAAGTGACAGTAAAGACATTTATAATGTTATAAAGATTTTTATTTGAAATCAGTTGTTATTTTCGAACTTTCTATTCATTAAAGAATCCTGAAAAAAATACGCATCATGGTTTTTATTAAAATATTAAGCAGTACAACTGTTTTCAACATTGATAATAATGTTTCTTGAGTACCAAATCAGCATATTTGAATGATTTCTGAAGGGTCATGTGACACTGAAGATTGAAGGAATGGCTGCGGAGAATTCAGCTTGGCCATGACAGGAATACATTTAAAAATTTGTTAATTGTAAGAATATTTCACAATTTTCACCTTTTTTATTAATATTTTCATTTAAATGCAGTCTTGGTGAGCTTAAGAGACTTAAAAAAAAACATTAAAAGTTTGACACCAAACGTCTGAACGTATATTAGTGTATATGCACTGCCAATCATATGTTTGAAGTCATGGCACATAAACATTCTCATTCTTTTTTTACATTTTAGAATAACAGATAAATAGTAAAGTCATAAAAACTTTAAAATAACACAAGTAAAAGTATGGCAATTATGTGTAGTTACCAATAATGTTACCATTACCAATAAAGTAACCATCCTGGGATGCTTTTTAAGCAGCAGTACCCATGGCAGCTTTTTTTGCCGCAAAATTTTATGTATGTATGTATGTAAATACAATCGAAATTGTGCAAATTCTATTTGGGCCTAGTCATTTAAATCAATCTTCTTGTGCAATATTCATTATTGCACAAAACAGGTTTTCTATATGAAACCACACAGACTACTGTTCTTCTCTCCTCCACTATGAACATTAGCCCCACTTGTCACATTATCATAGAGAGGAAGCACTTTTAACAAGGGTTCTAATTACTACACTACTTTCAGTATACTCAGTGAGATACCAGCAGAAACAGAAGATCACACACATATATAAACAAACAAATGAGTGTGCACGCACACACACACACAACAGAAACTTTAGGAACTCCATCAAGGGAGTCTTTCACTTATTTTAAGGAAGTTCACTGTCTCCTTTTACTGGTGCCCACTGAAGACACTCTGCTCCAAGTCAGAGACAGAGATATAAATACACACACACACACACACACACACACTTTCCCAGCGAGTCCTTGGTTTGTCACTGCTAACAATGTCAAAAATGACAATGCAAACAAGAATCCAGTTATATTATGTTCATTGTACCATTAAGTGTTTGTAAATGTAAATTGTGCTGTGCATTTATGAATTTTGTTTTGCAAATGTGTTATTTTTGAGGCCGATCTGGCTCCATATTTTAACAAATTTTTTTTAGACTTTTTGCATTTTTGTACTATATGAAAGCTTTTTTTCTGCCACAGAACAAAAAATATAAAAGGCGATTATGACTTTTTATGTCACAATACTGACTTTGTTTCAAAATTACAAATTTAAATATCACAATCACAAGTTATACACTGAGTTTACATCTCACAATTCTGACTTTCTGACTACATCTCACAACTCTGAGAATTGAGAGTTTAAGCTAAATTTACATCTCACAATTTTGACCATTCTCGCAATCAAACTGCAGTCTTAATTTGGACTTCTCCAAATTGCAAATTTATCTCAGAATTGCGGTTCTAAGTTTATTTCACAATTCTGACTTTTTTCACGTGGTGGAAACAAGTTTCCCTATTTACGTTTAACCAACTGGTGTGGTAAGTAATAGTTGGTGTATGAAAACAGGTTCACACAGGTGTTCCATCAGAGTAAACACACATCACATTAACTATGAACATGACAACCAGAACGTGTCCAAATACATTTTAGGGGTCAATGTATCATGGCACCAAATGTGGTGATGAACTAACCTTAATCATTTGGGCTACGTAGCTCTCGGGTCCCGTGTACTCGGTGGGGTCCTTCACCTTCACCAAGACTAGGAAGTACAAATAGTGCCACATGTTGTGCTCTGACTTGATGTGCTCCTCAAACGACACGGTCTTGTTATCAAACTTGTCTCTCTCAAGGCCTAAAGATGAGCAGATAATAAAAATTAAAGGTTCTTCAAAGAAAGAGCCCACTCTGTCTATCAAAATCAATTGTTTTATTCATGGTATTCCACTGTTTATAGTCACTATAAAACTTTCTCACACAACAGTTATACTCTAACATAGACTATATGCCCTCCTTAGTGGAGTAAATGTCACCATAATCATAGTTGAATCCATCAAATAAAAAGCCCTGTCACAGACCTCAAATACAAATTCAAAGGCAGTCAGAGTAACAGAATGTGACAGGGCATGACATCTGCTTAGTCGCACCACTGGCTAGTTCCAAGCCATTCTAAGATGTTTGCTGCTATGCAGATGTTGAAAAGAGCTGTTTTAAAAGGGCTATATTCTACACTTTTGTAGCATTTAATTTTTTGCATTAAAAAACATTATTTAATTTTACTGGACAATTTTCTGCCCTCACTCCATTCCTTATGAATAAGAGTTTTTGCTACTGTAACTTTAAAATCACTTCTGCATGTGGAATAGACTGAAATCTTACGCTTCATCATAGCACTCAACTTATTCAAGGATTCCCAAAATTTTTGACCAATTTAACTTTTCAAATTGATATTCCAGTCATTTGTAATAACAGGATAATGATTTTAAAAAAATATTTTAATTCATACCAATTTCCTAAAGAATCATACACAAGATTCACTGATTCAGTGGAAAGATTCACTTGAAAAAAATGAATCTTTTGACGTTTTCAATAATCCAATACCTGCAACTCATTTTGATTCACGTGGAAATTCAGCTAGATATCTTTGTGTTTTACAGCAAGGATCACTGTTATGATTGGCTAACCTCTGTTAACTAATCCTGTTTCTCAAAATATGCTCCCTTCAAACAAGACATACCACAAATGAAGCAGGTCGTCTTCAGAATTTCTTCCTTTCTCTGTTTCTCACTCCTCAGGTCAGCGAAAGTGTCAATGATCACACCAAAGATGAGGTTCAACACAATGATGATGACAATGAAGAAGAACAAGAGGTCATACACGACACGTGCCGGGAACATGGGCTCCTGAGGAGCAACAGTAAGGGAGTTATAAATGGAGATATATATACTGACACTATACTTTATATACTGTGTTTTATCTCTAAAAGCTATTTTTACAAAAAAAGCTGGCGTGACTGATTTTGCAACGCTTCAAAGCATAAAGACAGATGCTCAGAGAGAGTAGAACCGAATGCAGGTGTCTGTAAAAGCATGATGTACAGATGCCTGCAGATTCCACAGCTTTAAACATGGATTATACTGACAGTATTAGTGACGCTGGAAAGGATTTATTGGCATATCTCATGTCGTGCTGCGTTGATGATATTCTGTTCACCTCTTTGGAGAGCTTGCGCAGAACATCTGCGATTCCTCCTCCGTTCCTCAGGCCGTGGTTCAGAACCGTAATGATGCACATCAGCAGGGTGTCACAAACGCGCTCTGTACCATCTTCATCCTCTTCTTCCACTGGGATGAACACACACACAAAAATATACAGGCACTGATAAAAAAAAACAGTTTCAAACGTTTGTGACTATGTATATATTCAGATTTAAGGCTTTAAGGCAGGATTTTTACTTATAAGCAGCAGTTTAGATGTATTATTACCTATTCAGAATATTAACTATAAATATTCAGAATTGTATCTTCCATATTTATTTATATATATATATGGATGTCTAACATTTTTACATATGTATTTACATATATGTACATAATCTATTCAGAACTCTAACTATACATTCTGTATAATTACATATTTTCTATATATGTAGATATATAAAAACATTTAGCCATTTGTTTGTTTGTTTTACTGCTGCCAAAAGCTTATTTCACTTTCACAGTCCTTGTTTCCAATAGTAAAAGAAGTCCAAATTCTGAATCCATCCATGTCTTTCTCTCGTCTCTTTTCAGAGCCAGTAACATGCAACTCAAAAAATTTCATTTGTGCCAACGGAGAGTGCATCTCCTCGCGCTTCCGTTGCGACGGCGACTTCGACTGCACTGATAACTCAGACGAGGTTTCAAGTAGCACATTCGTCAATCATACCATTGCTAAACATTGTTCATCTGGTACCTGTTAAAGTGCTGATATCCCATACATCTGTTTTCAGAGAGGCTGTGAGAGCCACTGCTCCGAGGATCAGTTCCAGTGCCTGAATCATCTCTGTATCTCAGTAAAATGGCTCTGTGATGGACAGGAAGACTGCAAAACCGGGGAAGATGAGGCCAACTGCAGCCCTGCCAACACTGCCATGACAGGTTAGCTGCTTTCACACGCTCTTTAAATAATGCAAACGGATCCAGAACCGATCAAAGCTGTTCCCAGACAGCTAGCTTGGCACTCCTATAATCACATGTCACCGAGCGGACACCTTTTATCCAAAGGGAATCATAGGCCTATGACTACACAACGGTGGCTGGAGATCTCTGCACAGCCTCAAACCCTGCGACACTGCCTTAATTTATAACCGCTAAGCTACTTTCGCTTAAAACTGACAGCAAAATGACCCTACATTTGTCATCTTCTGCATTTAAATGTCACCTAAGGAGTTTCATTGCAGGGAACGGCTTGTTCCTCCCTCAGCACCAGACTCCTTAGAGTCTAAAACTGCTGCTTAAGTACACTTGGTGTAAGTGTAGTATACCTGCAAACACTCCGGCCCAATTTATGTTTTAAAAGAGGTTGCTATAAAGAAGTATGTCGTCTTTTGTGGCAAGTATTTACGTGCACCCAGAACACCTACCTGTAATGCTTTCACTGCATTTGTATAAGGAGGCAAAATATCATCCTTTCATCTCCCTTTTCATCTATTGCTGAGGAACAGATGGCAAATCCACTTACTCATGATGGATTTTCAATATTCACTTCATCTGTGATGTCAATAGCAAGCTACGTTCCTCCCCAGAGCTTTGAAGTCAAAATGAAGTAGAGTGTTTTTTTTTTTTTCAATTTAAGTCAATTATATATTTTCTATATATATATATATATATATATCTATTCAGATATATAAATATATATATATATATATATATATATATATATATATATATATATTCAGGATTTTTAGTACTTGTTTATTTAAACATGTATTTAAATTCATATTATTATAAAACAATCATAACATCATAAATAATCATGTATTTATAATCATAACAATATAATTATGATTCTTACTATACATAATTAACAATTTCACAATTCTTTACATATTTAGATATATAGTCTATTCAGAACTATAACTATATTCAGGATATTTAATCATGTTCTATATATTTAGATGTGTAATTATCTATTCATATTATATATTTAGAATTTTTACTTATACATTTATTTTGTAAATACATTTGATTGAGTCAGTCAATCAATTCATCAGTCATTCCATCCCTCTATTTCTATTAAATGCAAATTAGAGATTTCCACAAGTGGACTCCACTGTATATGCAAGTAGTGTATATATACTGTATATATATATATACACACACACACACACACACACACACACAAGGTAAGTAAGGAATAAGTGATGGACAGAGACACCACAGAGGTCAAAAGAAAGAAAGAGGGTGAGCGTGTGAGAGAGAAAGAGCACGCACGTATTGATATCTAGAAGAACAGGTGATATTTAAAGACTCACAGGGCAAAGCAAAACAAAGAAGCACATGAGTCATCTCCTCAACACACATACACACACTCTCACGGGTCATCTCAGCACCTTAACCTCTATAACAGATACTCAGGACCAGCCCTTTACAAACAAACACTTAGGAAAACCATAAACACACACAAACACACACACGCAAATCACACGACATGTCACCACTATTGCAGATTATGCAAGAACATTCAGCTGAAGGGTGAGACGGAGGTGAAATCAAAAGAGAAACTGCAATGCTGCACAGTAAATACTGAATTATTCTTGATGTCCTTCACAATATGACACTCAAATCAATTAAAAACCAATTAAAGTCCAAGTTTTTACAGCCTAATGATACACAAGCACAGCTGTATGGAAATCACACATGCTTCTCAAACCATTTCATGGTTTGGTTTATGGATCTATATAGTGAACCGTGGCCCTAAAAAGTATCACTTAAGTAACACCTAAATCACCAAAACTTAAAAAAAAAAGCATGATTGTCATCACATTAAGCAAAAATATATCAAACCAAGTGGCAACTGTGTAAAAAAAAAAAGTTTTCCTCAAAGTTAAATTAAATAAATTAAATTAAAACTTTAAACATTATTATTGTAAATATAATTAAAAAGCTTTTACAAGATTCTTTTTGTGACATGTTTTGCTTGAAAAGTTTGCTATATTTCATTTTATTTCAAGGACATACGTTTTATGTGTGGCCTAAGTGTCCAGAAATTGTTTGGGGCCACTGTAAAAATGGTGACTTACCGTGGTGAGAACTAAAAGGGGAGTTAGAACAGGTCTCACTCAGGCAGTTCATAGACTCCTTCACATTCATCTTCTCTAAAAGACAAACCAAACAAATATAACATGAGTTATATACAGTTTTTTTTCTTGGTAAAAATGTCAAAATCTACATTCATAGCATGTGCTTAACAATTCAAAAGTCAAACGTTTTGTATTGCCACAACTGAAATGTTTTATTAAACTGTGTGTTGTATTCCAGTGCACGCGTGTATGTGTGTGCCCTTTCTGTCCCCAGTGCTTGTACAGTGATGCAGTGCACAGAGGAAGTGATTACATCAGGGAGTGTGGCCACTGCTGGGTTATGCAGCAGGTGCCATGTGCTAGCAGGTCCTCTCTCTTACCTCAACACAGCTACATGGCCATGTGTGTTCATATAAACACATACACACAAACACAAGTAATCACCTTCACACGTTCACATGCGTACATGAATGTACAAACTGAATACATCACAGATGTGGTAATCTCTCTAAAAGAGTCATTTTAGTGCTATTCATACCAAGTTGTTTACACATACGATATGCAGGGATGCATATTAGCACATGATATTGACTTCATTCATGCAGAACATTTGGGTAATATGAAACGAAAGACTAAAACCACAAGTTCTACATAATGTGCGGCTGGAAAGATAGGAGGCCACCACAGCAAAGAGCATAACGGGGACACCATGTACACTTCATTCTTACTTAAAGCAGGGAGGCGGTCGACTTCCATGAGGAAGTCATCTTTAAAGAAGAGGAAGCCCACAATGGAGAAGAGGTAGACCAGGATGATAGCCAGAACAGCTGTGAAGAAGATGGAGCGGCCGTTCTTCGTCACGCTCCTCATCACGTTTAGAAGCGTTTCCTCTCTTCGCACAAGATCAAACAACTAGAGGGAATAGAAGAGAGAAAGAAGAGGATATTATAAAAACATGTTGATTAGGAAATTAAATAACTATAAATAATTTATTTAAATTGTCACTGTTCTAAAGCCAAAAAGCATTTTATTTAGCATTTTATCAAAAATGTTTGTTTCAAATAAATACTGTTCTTTTGAACTTTTCATTACTCAAAGAAAAATGTATAACATTTTCCACAAAATTATTAAGCAAAACAACTGTTTTCAACATTAATAATAATAAGAATTTTTTTCTTGAGCACCAAATCAGCATATTATTAAAATTTCTGAAGAATTATGTGACACTGATGATTGGAGAAATGGAAGCTAAACATTCAGCTCTGCCATCACAGGAATAAATTACATTTTAAAATATATTAAAATAGAAAAGTTATTTTAAATATTTTACAAGATTACTGTTCTTTTTTTCTGTATTAAATAAATGCAGCCTTGGTGAACATAAGAGATTATCAAAACATTAAAAAAAATTGCCAACCCCAAACTTTTGAACAGTAGTGCATACACTTTTACAGTAATAAGATTTTTTTTCTTTTGCTGTTAAAAACTAACACAGTCAATAAAATAAACTAGTTGTAATTAACCTCATGATTTTTGTCCAGTTTTTAGAAGCTGGAATGAAACAATAAGTATCAGTAAAATAAAACACAATAAATGTATTAAATTATTGTGTTAACTTTTTAATTCATATCCTAAGCTAACATTATAACTTTGGCAGCCATAAAAATACTCATAAAAATTTCTCTTTAAGCAAGCATCCATGGACTACACTTTTAACCTCTAAATGAAATCATTAATTTCATGTATTGCTAAAAATTATACTGGAAAAGGTGTGAAGTCTTACCAGAATACTGTAGAAGAACTCGTGTACGAACAGGCCCAGCATGCAAACGATGACATAACTGACATGCAGAAGGAAGAAGACGTCCATGATAACTGCTTTGTACCCTCGTGTGAACGTGCCTTGGTTCCCCACAAAACTAACCAGGAACACGATTTTATTCAGCAGCTGTGAAAAGACATTAGAAGATAATGCTATAGCATCATAATCACATTAAAATATTCAACTGCCTTCAATTAAAGCACTCTTCTATGGAAGTCCTTTAGGACTTTTTGTAAAGGTAATTACGACTTTCTATCTTACAAGTCAGACTCTTTTTCTTGCAATTGCTACTTTATATTTTACAATTCAGACTTTATATCTCGCATTTCTGACTTTTTTCCTCTGAATTCTGAGTTTACATCTCACAATTCTGTTTTCTGTTTCCACTAAGTTACAGAAAATATTTGATTTGCGAGAAAAAGTCAAGAAAAAGGCTTCAATACTTTTGAGTCATATACTGCAGTAATTGAAACACCTAACTATATAAAGCATGCATAGTTGGGAAAATAAATAAGGTTATAAATAAATAACTTCTAAATGAAAGAGAAAATGTTTCCATATCCTTTTCAGCTGACATCAAAATAAGTGCGTCTTGGTAGAAGCTAGCATGATTAGGCAGACACCAACATGGCCAGTTGTGTGACATGCCTTCATCCTCAAAACCCTGAGCAAGTTGAAAGAAAATATATACGAGTTCACTTGCAGTGAGGATACACAGTTTGTGGCGACCACTAGAAGACGTGGCAAGTGGCGTGTAGTATAACAGATCCCAGACTCCTAGAATCTGTTTCAGCACATGTCTCTGTTGGTTCTTCATGTGGTGCCATAATGGCTGAGGAGACGCCAGCTTGAGGAGACGCAAAAAGACTGACACAACAGAGGGACGTGTCAGCAGTTTGAAGGCTGAAGCTCCAGTTGGCTGGGAGAGAGGCATGAAATCGCTCTCATTTTTTATCTGAACGCACATTAAGCACATCAGCCGCTTCTGTCATCGTAACTGACACTGATGCAAAATGGCAACACTAGTTCCTCTTCTGCCATCTTTCATATTTAGCCAGATATCGAGCGGCTTCTCGTAATTAATTGGTATTAGCGATTAATCAGCAAACATGAGGTGTTAGCGGCTGGTCTTTTTTAATAGGAGTTCAGTTGGTTTATACATTCAAAATACACTTTGACATTTAATCAATTCACGGACGCAGAGTGCTGACGAGCTAAATGAAGCGTGAATGGTTGATAATGATTTTGCCTTACGTTGGCGGCCCCCAGAAGCAGCAGTGTGGGTCCTAAGCCCAGCGTGTAAATAGAACGGAACATGACGGTGACCAGGAACGCCAGGATACCTCCACGCGGGGGAAGAACAAACAACGTGAAGGTGCTCACAACCACTGCCACCCAAAGCAAGATGGACAAGAATGGTGGCAAGACACCTGAGAGAGAGAACAAAGAACTGCATGAAAATTTTGGGGTGAACTACCCCTTTAAATAATGCCATTAGGTGAATAAGAATTCAGTTTTATTTTTTCCCCCAAAATTTGTGTTTTCAGTTTAAATTATTCTGCATTCAGTTTTAATAGTTTAAACTGTATTAATAAAAAAGGATATCTAATCAGATTAATACATAAAACTTTAACAAAACAATAGTAGTAGTTTTAAAATGACATTGCCCAATGAAATGTTTAATTTTTTGTGAAATTCTGTGCTGTCTGTTTTAATTGTTCTGGATTCTGTTTTCTGATTTAATATAAATTTATTATAAAAACATGGTAATCAAATAAAAGCATAAAACTTAAATAAACCATTTAATTAACCTTTTAAAATGTAATCAAATGAAATTTGAACAATTCTTTTCTTTTTTTGGTAAACAAAATTCTGCACAAAAGGTTTTAATTTAAATTTAAACGTATTAAAAAACAGTGGTATTCCTATAAAAATAATATTTAAAAAAATGTTCATCATTATTTTACTGTACAATATACTGTACATTTCTGTCATAATTTGTTCAAGTTAAACCAAACATTGGTGGTTTGTAATGAAGAGCTTTGAGTTTCTCCAGATTTTTGAGTTAACTCAAATTTAAATATCAGTCTTTTTGCAGTTTACTATTCACAGTGTATAGTCCTACTTATGATTTATTAATCCAAATTTTGCAAATTTTGTGAAATTCCACATTATACAATAAATTTCACTATGACTGATTTCCGTGATTCTGTCTGCATTTTACACAGTTTGGAAACAATAGGGCCATAATTATGCAATTTGTTAATATATCAAAAATCAAAGCCATACCTTCATCTCCATCATCTCCAAACGGGTAGAAAAGAGCGACAGCCAAGTTGATTAGCACAGCCAAGTTAAAGGAGATACTACCCCATAGAGATATATGTTTTGACACCCAGAAAAGTGGTGCATTATCTGCAAACACACGGCAATACATCAGCATAATGACTCTGACACAGGCTCGAACTGGTGATAAATTGTTACATTGTTTTTTGCACAAAGCAAAACAACCCACTTCTTATTTTCTTCTGCCACCTCATCTCAATGTAGAGGTCATCAAACTGCTGGAAGAAGTCGTTGACCTTGCTGCCCTGGTCGTCTCGCTCTGTTGTAGTGAACACGCGCACTTTTGATTCTTCTGTTAAGTACTCGCAGATGTTAGGCACAGGAAACACGATCTGCTCCATCGTGCGGTCATGGCGGACGATCTGAAATCAATCGTGTTTAACTGATATATTTTGACTTAAATTGTCTGATAAAGGCAGTGATAAGTAAATGAGACTTCAAATGTGTCATATTAAAGCTATAGAAAAGCCAATAAAGGTGCAAATTAAATTAACGAAGGGAAACAAAGTTATCTCCATAAGTTCTCAAACTGTCATACCTCTATCTGAGCAGTGTGGTTGGCATAGTATAGGAGCGCTGCTTCTCCTTCGATGGTAGGATCTGGGCCAGGTTTCAAACTCTGCTGGAGGTTTTTTCTGTGGCGTGCCAACTGATCATCAAAAACACTTCAGTCAACATGACAGATTCAACAGATTCAGAAACAGCAGCTCAATATCAGGGCATTTCTTCAACTACAGGCACTTTTGGCACTCAGGACTTAAAAAAAAAAAATAAAATCTCACTAGTTGATTCGTCTACTAATAATGTCCATTAGCGGACATGTATGCATTACAGGAAAATTCTGTCACTTTTGCTCAAAACCATGACCATTTGCTCCACACTTACATTTTCACCTCATCTCAAATTATGTATTGCATTTAATAAGATTGTGTGATTGAAATGCTGGAGGTGGAAATTACATTTCTGGAATAAAATGGCCTATTATTTAGTCTTGTTAAGTTCCATAGCTAGCATTTTATGTATGCTAAATACACGATTAAGTAAAAGCAAGACTGACAGGAATCGTGGAAAGATATCCGACAGACAAAACTCACCCAAAAAATAAAATTAAAAACTTCCCCTTTAAATAATGCCATTATCCAACTAAATGAGATAAATTATACAAATCAAATTTTAGATAGATTAAATTTTTTTTTAATTAAAACTGAAAAAAAAAAAAAGATACATTTTTAAAAATGCATGATAAAAATTTTACAACATAACTGGAAATTATGCACTATAAAAACAATCTTTTTTTTCTTCTTTTTCTTTATATATCGTACTTCATCTCAAGCATGCTCTTTACTGACACCGTTGTCTACTTGTATACTAACTTTTGATACAATTTTACTATCTAATAATGTACAGAATTGTTTGTTGTGGATTGTTTGACATTCATAATTTGTGCAAACATGTATAGATATAAATTATAGATACTGTATAAGTCCTAAAAATAGACCTTAATTATTTTATCAAAATAAATATAGAAATGGTTTATGTTTATTTTATTTTGTTAAGATCATCATAGCTTCTAACATGCAATAACTAAACTTTATCATGGATTTTATAGTTCAATACTTAAAATATGGCTCTGGGACAATGGTACAACACTAAAATAAACATCTATACATCTGAAAAGTAGCAAAAATAAATGGAGGCATTAAAAAAAGTTTTAACGTTACCTTCATATACTATAAAGAAAAAGCTATAAATGAATAAATATAGCTAAAAGCCAACCTCTAAGACTTTAAAGTGTTTGAAGTTGCAGGAACACCCATTAGTCTATTAGTGACACATTGGTGACTTGGCTAACACAAATCACATTAGCAATTTAGCGGTTTCATAATGCCAATGCAACCCCTGGATGAGTCAATTCATAAGGGGTCAGGACTGATCAATCTGATTACTTCAAAATCAAAACATTTTAAGAGCTGCCTACGCAGAGGAACTCTGATGTTTATCTCAATGACTGAATACCCGCAGCGATGTGGCCAAGATGCATTAGTGAGACAACAGCATCCAGAGACAACCTAATCAAAAACAGCGGTCTGAAAATAATTTCCAACAGATGACGGATCAAAGGGCAACGAACGATCAATGACGCTCTGCAAGATGCAAGCAATTCATTTAAGTAAAGAACCATCTCGCAGTTTATACATACAGAAGCCTGCTTAGTCTATTGAATCAAACTAGTTACCTTTCTATTAAGCAACAAGTCTGAAAGGAAGGCGGACACTCTTTAACCTCCAAAAAGGACGTGTCCTTGAGGCAAATAAGTAATCATTCCACACCCTCAGTGTCCCTTTATCACATAATGGCCTTAATGCAGTAAACGGGAGCGAGGGATTCTCACAGGCTGGAGGAGCACAAAAGATGTGCGCCACTTGAGACACCAAGAAGGTGAAATCCCTTTGTCTCCTTATTGACGTCTAAGCCACGTTTGCTCCAAAAATGTTCACAGTGTCCTTTTCATTTCAGATCAAAGCTAACATCAGGAATCTGTTTATAAGAGCTGGAAGAGAGCAAGGCACGCAATAGAGAGCTAAACTGACATCAAATAATGTCATTTACTTTGTCATGTACCAAGTAAACACAGGAGGATCTTGTATTTGGCAGCTGTTTTTTTTTTAGCACTGGAGCTAACACAGTCTAAAGCAACCATGTCAACAGTGCAGAACAAATAAAAAGAAATTAAAACCACAGGAGAAAAAGGACATGGGAATGTTCTTTGTGAAAACCGCTTACAGTATCATCATTCAGTTTAAAGGGGTCATATGATGCAATTTCAAGTTTTCCTTTCTCTTTGGAGTGTTACAAGCTGTTCGTGCATAGATAAGATCCCTAAAGTTGCAAAGACTAAAGTTCTTGTAAAATATATATTTTTTTATAAAGTTTATAAAAGTTCTTTATAAAAGTTACGACTTGTTCACGCCCTCCTAAAACGCCTCGTTTAAACATGCCCCCACATGTCTACGTCACATAGACAACGTCATAACACCTCCCAAATGTTTACGCAAAGAAAGAAGGCGTAACTTTGATTCTCGCTGTAGTATTGTTGCTGCTGCCGCCGCCATGTTGTGGAGACGCTGTATGTTTCGTTGTGAAAGCGAAACTACTTTGTTTGGCCTTCCAAAAGAGGACGATATCTAGGCCGCTTCGTCATGCCTAGAGCTGATCCGTGCTGGTCGCTGAAATAATGTACAGTATGTTGAAAATAATGTGTTTGTTGAACGTTAAACCGCATAAACGCATTGCATTACACCAAATACACAAAATAATGTTCTTTTTAGCAACGTCATATGACCCCTTTAACTTTCTGAGGACCAAAGTAAATTTACACACATTTCTACAGGACAATCAAAAAATGTTTACGGAGCTTTCTCGCAAAAACTCTAAATATGACTGGTTCTTGGTTGTGCAAAATGCTAGTTAAGTTTTTATCATGTAGTCGTATCATTTTATCATGTTGCCATGATGTTTCTAGAGTATTCTGGGTGGTTGCTTACTAGAAAAAAGCAAATTCTAAGTATGAACAATTGCAATAGTGACATTTCCTTAAGCAAACACTATTAATTAAAAATAAATGTCAGTAATTAATAATAACCATTCAATCAGTGTTTAAGCATTTCTTAAATTAATTTCTGTTTATTTCTTTCTCACTGTCAGCAAGATGAGAAGATAAGGACTTATTCTTTTGACTCCCTCTCCTTCTCTCTCTGTATGACTCTTATGTCCTCAGGCCCTACTTGTTTTCTACAAGTGAGAAACTACACAGCAAAATGAGACTGACAAACATTGTGCAGATGGTCCAACTGATGCAAAACCTCCCCAACCAGATCATACAGCCATAGGCCAAAGTTTCTCAAACCGGTGTCCATATAAAATAGCCAGAGGGTCCGAGTTAAAGTCTTGAATTTTGAACAAAAATCTCACCGAAAACTATGGCAAGAGTTTGCCATGAGATACATTATTCCAGGAAAGCTAACAGCGAGAGAACTACTATATGCACACTTGCACTTTCTTTCAGTCATCTGTGTGAGTGTGTTTGGAAAAACACAGATAGACGAACACCTGAGGTTATGTCATTATGAAAGCAGCCAGTTAGATAGAAATAAACTGTCTAGCAGATGGCTGAGCCTGTCAAGAAAGCGTGTGGAAGTGAAAGTGAAGACTGAAACTGAGAAATGCACAACTGGCTTGAGGATTTCCTCACAAGAGACCTTAACCCTTCCTTAAGAAGAATTGTTCTATTTTTACAAAAATTAACTTAATATTATACTTATCATTATTAATATTATATTATACTGGATTGCCATTATTATTATTAAAGGCCTTTTTAAACAAAACTATAGACTCAGTTTAAGGAAAACAAAGCCTCACAATGTAACACTTTTACGAGTGTAAAACCTGCATACATTTCAAACATACATTCATACATTATTTTGTTCTTTTTCCTTAAAAGGAACCTGAAAAATTCCTGTGATTAACCATGATTAGTTTTTATAATCTATTATTTTTTCAGCTTTATAGATTTAATATCATATTATACTTGATATTTGATTTAGCTTACATTGCATTTTGGAATATCATATATCGTTTTAAGAGCAGGTCATATGGGTTTTTGCAAAAATTTCTCTTTTGCAGTTTATAATGTAGCTATCCTTAAATTAAAACATTCTGCAAAGTTGTTAATCAAAAACGTGCATGATAATTAAAGATATTGTCTCTCAAAAGAGAGGGTCGATTCTAAATCGCCTTAACGAGTCGTCATATTTTCGAATCTTATGCCTGTTAGCGGTATACGTCACTGGGTAACACATTTGCATAATCCCCGCCTGCCCGCGAGTCTGACCTTCCCACAAACACTTCCGCTAGTTAGTGTGTTTACATCATGTTGAGAAGAACAAATAAGGAGCATTTTAATAAAATACCGGGAGCCACTAAAGGGATATGGTTAGCTGCTAGCTAGCGGTAGCCTGTTACATTGAGCCAGGGGCGTAATTTCCACTGGGGACAGGGGGGACATGTCCCCCCCACTTTTCAAAATCACGTTTGTGTCCCCCCCACTTTCAAATTCGTTTGTTATGATTTTTTTAACCGCACGCCATCATTGCCACGGAGGAGCAGGACCGAGCAGGGCACAGACGCGTGCGTCCGCGTCCAGGAACGTCGCGTGCACACTCTAAAAATAGCTCACTGAAAGTTCTAATGAGCAGGTATCGCGGTTGCGGCACAGTCAGCGATGAAACACCAGAAGCAGCAACAGATGACTTTAATGTCATCATGGACATATAGCACTCGGCTAACGTATCCACCATTATTGTTTTAAGTGTTTAACGTTACAGTTTAGCAGCTAAACTTTAGCTGTGGGCACGATTCACTTGCATAAGTGTTTTTGTATTTTATGCCATTATTTTAAGAACGGATTGGAGCACTATATTATTGTTCTATGTAAAGGTGCTTTGTCAATGGTAGTGCTCCAAATTACTGGTAGTTTATCAGTAATTTTATTGCAGTCTGAATCCAGATCGTCTGTGCTTTTCTCTCATCAACTGTGCAAAAATCCCTGGCCGAATTACCTACTGTTTTTTGACAAAAACCAAGGTTTTG